ATCACAGTATCCCTCAATCACCGCAGGGAAATTACTGTAGTGCAATTCAAAGTTCTGGGTATGTTCTAAATATCCCAAAACTCGTTTCATTACCATCTAGTGAGATTGACCTGGATTGCTCGTGTATCGACTCAGTTTACTTATAGCACAAGCTATATCTGGTTGTGTACAATTCATGATGTACATTAAGCATCCCAACACACGAGCATAATCCAATTGTGATATGCTTTGGCCTTTGTTCTTTGCTAGTGCAAGATTCACGTCAATTGGAGTCTTTGCAACTTTAAAGCCCAAGTGCTTGAATTTTTCAAGTACTGTCTTAATATAATGAGATTGTGACAATGTCAGACCTTGAGGAGTTTTTTGGATCTTAATCCCCAGAATTAAATCTGCAACTCCCAAGTCCTGCATATCAAACTTGCTAGTTAGCATACGCTTAGCCGCATTTATGTTGGCAATGTCATTACTCATTATCAGCATATCATCCACATATAGGCAAACAATGACTATGTGATTTGGAACATTTTTAATGTACACACATTTATCACATTCATTTATCTTAAAACCATTTGACAACATTGTTTGGTCAAATTTCGCATGCCATTGTTTGGGTGCTTGTTTTAGTCCGTAAAGAGACTTAACAAGTCTACATACCTTCTTTTCTTTACCTGGAACCACAAACCCTTCAGGTTGTTCCATGTAAATTTCTTCCTCCAACTCTCCATTTAAGAAGGCCGTTTTAACATCCATTTGATGAATTTCAAGACCATACACTGCAGCTAATGCTACTAACATCCGTATGGACGTAATCCTTGTAACTGGAGAGTATGTATCAAAGTAGTCAAGACCTTCTCGTTGTCTATACCCTTTGACAACAAGTCTTGCCTTAAATTTATCAATAGTGCCATCATCTTTCATTTTTCTCTTAAAAATCCATTTAGAACCCAAAGGTTTATTTCCAGGAGGAAGATCAACCAATTCCCATGTATGGTTGTTCAATATGGATTCTATTTCACTATTGACTGCCTCTTTCCAGAACAATGATTCCGAAGAAGACATAGCTTCTTTAAATGTTCGAGGCTCATTTTCCAATAAGAAAGTCACAAAATCTTGTCCAAACGAAGTAGACGTTCTTTGACGTTTACTACGTCTTGGATCCTCCTGATAAAATGTACTTTCTTTTGTTTCTTTCCGAGGTCGTTTAGATCCTTCACCAAACAACTCACATTCCTTTATACGGATATATATTTTCAAAGAACTAAGCATTATCTGATTCTATAACTGTATTATTATGAATGTCAGGATTTTCTGATTTATGAACCAGAAATCGATATGCTTTACTATTGGTCGCATATCCTATGAAAACACAATCAACTGTTTTCGGTCCTATTTTTACCCTTTTGGGTTTAGGAACTTGTACTTTTGCCAAACACCTCCACACTTTAAAATAATTCAAGTTGGGCTTCCTTCCTTTCCATTTTTCATATGGAATGGATTGTGTTTTGCTATGGGGTACTCGATTTAGTATTCGTCTAGCCGTAAGAACAGCTTCCCCCCACAAGTTCTGTGGCAATCCAGAACTTATCAACAATGCGTTCATCATCTCCTTTAATGAACGATTCTTTCTACAATCCCATTGGATTGGGGCGTGTAAGGGGTTGTTGTTTGATGAATAATTTCATATTCTAAACATATTTGTTCAAAAGGAGATTCATATTCACCACCACTATCACTTCTTATCATTTTGATTTTCTTGTTAAGTTGCATTTCAACTTCATTTTTGTATTGCTTGAATGCGTCTGTTGCTTCATCTTTACTATTAAGTAAGTAAACATAGCAATATCGAGTACTATCAT